GTCTCAGGTAGTTATTTATATCAAAGTGTGAATGGGCTAATGCACTAGATAAACATGAACACATTTTTGGTAGAAAGATGGATGGCGCAGGTCATTCTGGTGAGGTATCAAATGGAAATGAGAAATATGTTACTGGAAACTTGAGGAAAGGTGGTCTGTAGTATAAAGTGGCAAAGAACTGGACTGAATTGGGTTCATGTTCTACTGTTTTGTGGAAGGTAGAACTTGAGAGCAATGAAACTGGATATTTGACTGAGGAAATCTATAGGCAAAGTGTTGAAGGTGTGGCCTGGCTCCTTCTGACTACTTATAGTAAAATGCCAGAAGAGAGAAATGACTTAAAGACAGAATTCTTAAGCAAAAAGCAAGCAGAATTTAAACAGTTGGAAAATTCCCAGCTATCCATATTGCGAAAAATGAGAAATGCCAAGCAACCATTTGAGAGGGAGATTAGAATGGAAGTGAATTATGAATTTAATTAGTCATGCCAGGAGAAAAATTAGCAGTTGAACTGACACCTAGGAAGAGTGTTTGGAGGGGAAGGAGATGGGAAGTAACGAAGGAAGGCTGTCGGACTTCTTGGATAGCCAAATGGGACCATTTGGCTAGGAATGTGCACTATTCTTCAAGACAAGGGAAGAATGGTCCCAAAGCAATTCAGGGACCATCAGAGCTGCCTTCTTGGTCTCAAAAGGGGGATCATTGGCTTGCTTTTGATAGGCCAGATTGCTAGGCCAGATTACCTCTGTCCAAACCTGTGCCAGCTACCTAGTGGTCTGGGGACACAATCCCTGCCAAGTAGAGTTGTGAGGGCAGAACCACCACCTCGGTGGGACTGAATGGCAAGACCTTCTCCCCAGTGGACCTGGAGGGCAGAGCATCAAGCCAAAGAGAATTATTCTTGAGCCTAAAATTTCGTAGAGTTTGCCTTACAGTTTGGACATCCTTGAGGCCTGTTATAACTTTCCTCTTTCCTATTTCTCTTTGTGGAATGGAGATGTCCATCCTATGCCTGTCCTATTATTGTATTTTGGAAGCACATAGCTTGTTTTAAGGTTTTACAGGTTCACAGTTAGAAAGCAATTGGCCTCAGCATGAATTGTACTTTGAGTCTCTCCCATATCTGATCTAGCTATTTAGATAGGACTTTAGATTTTAGACTACAGAGTTGATCTTAAGATCATACTATGGAATGAATTAAGATTCTGGGGGCTGTTAGGATGTAATCAATATATTTTACGTGTGAGAAGGACATGAATTTGCTGTGGCCAGGGGTGGAATGCTGTAGCCTGAATGTTTGTTTCCCCGACCCTCCGAATTCATATGTTAAAATTCTAACCCTCAGTGTGAGGGTTATTAGGAGGTGGGACTTTGGGGGGATGATTAGGTCATGAGGGTTGTACCCTAATGAATGTGATCAGTACCCTTATAAAAGAGACCCTGGAGAACTCCCTTGTCCCTTTCATTATGCAAGAACACAGGAAGAAGGTGGCCATCTATGAACCAGGAAGTGGGTCCTCACCAGACACTAAATCTGCTAGTGACTTGATCCTAGACTTCTCAGCCTCCAGAACTATGAGAATAAATATCTATTGTTTGTAAGCCATCCAGTCTATGGTAATCTGTTACAGTAGCCTGAACATACTAAGACACAGGGCTGTAAAGGCTACTTAGTAAATTATGTACTTATACCTTTTCCTAATACAGCATGTTAGGGTTTGTTTGCTGGTTTTGTTTAATTTTGATTTTTTTTTTGAGGCAGAGTTTCACTCTTATTGCCCAGGATGGAGTGGCTCACTGCAACCTCTGCCTCCCGGGTTCAAGCGATTCTCCTGCCTCACCCTCCTAAGTAGCTGGGATTACAGTCACCCACCACCACAGCTGATTAATTTTTTATTTTTAGTAGAAACAAGGTTTCTCCATGTTGGTCAGGCTGGTCTCAAACTCCCGACCTCAGGTGATCCACCTGCCTTGGCCTCCCAAAGTGCTGGGATGACAGGCAAGAGCCACCATGCCTGGCCTGTTTTGATTTTTTGTCTCGTCTTTATGCAGCTCTCTCCACCTGTCTCCTATACTTTGTAGGGAATGGATTTCAGGGTAGATGTCATTTCCTGCAGCTTATTCATTGGATCTCCTTTTGCACATGTATTGACTGAAGGCAGTGATAACTTTTAATTGATATGATACTTCCAAGGAGTCTAGCATTTACCTTGCCACAGCAGCAGTTTTATGGTGAAGACAATGGCAGGCATCAATACTGGGACTGAGAAAGGACAGGGACTCTTGCCCGAAATTCATTAACATATTATTTTCTAGGCGATACTATTTGGTAAAACATTCATTGCATGTCAGACAAGTTCTTTTAACAAATTATAAACTATGGTCAAGACAAAGCTTGATAATTTTTTTTTTTTTTTTTTTTTTTTGAGATGGAGTCTCGCTCTGTAGCCCAGCCTGGAGTATAGTGGTGCAATCTCAGCTCACTGCAAACTCTGCCTCCCCAGTTCAAGCAATTCTGCTGCCTCGGTCTCCCAAGTAGCTGGTACTACAGGCACGAGCCACCACACCTGGCTAATTTTTGTATTTTTAGTAGAGATGGGGTTTTACCATATTAGCCAGGTTGGTCTTGAACTGCTGACCTCAAGTGATCCACCTGCCTCAACCTCCCAAAATGTTGGGATTACAGGTGTGAGCCACCACGCCTGGCCCTTGATAAATAATTTGAGGGAGAAAAAATAAGAATCTGATGTCTGTCATCAAAACATGACACCACCAAATGCTGGAGAGGTGTGCAGCAACAGGACTCTGGTCCATTGCTTGTGGGACTATAACAGCACAGCCAAGCTGGAGGACAGTTTGACAGTTTCTTACAAAATGAGCATATTCTTACCATATGATCCAGCCATCACACTCCTTGGTTTTTACCCACTGGAGCCGAAAAGTTATGTCTGCACAAAAACCTGTGTGTTGATGTTTATAGCAGCTTTATTCATAATTGCCAAAGCTTGGAAGCAACATAGATGTCTTTCAGTAGCCAAATGGATAAACTGTAGTACATTCAAGCAATGCAGTATTATTCAATGTTAAAAAGAAATGAGCTTCGAAGTTATGAAAAGACATGGAGGAAGCTTAAGTGATATAAGTGAAAGATGCCAATCTGAAAAGGCTATATACTGTAGGATTCCAACTATAAGACATTCTGGAAAAGGGAAAACCAGAGACAGTAAAAAGATCAGTGGTCAGCCGGGCACAGTGGCTCATGCCTGTAATCCCAGCACTTTGGGAGGCTGAGGCGGATGGATCACGAGGTCAGGAGATCGAGACCATCCTGGCTAACGTGGTGAAACCCCGTCTTTACTAAAAATACAAAAATTAGCCAGGCATGGTGGCGGGCACCTGTAGTCCCAGCTACTTGGGAGGCTGAGGCAGAAGAATCGCTTGAACCTGGGAGGCGGAGCTTGCAGTGAGCCGAGATCACGCCACGGCACTCCAGCCTAGGTGACAGAGCGAGACTCCGTCTCAAAAAAACCCAAAAAACCAAAAAAACAAAAAAAAATCAGTGGTTGCCAGGGGTTGTGGGGAGGGATGAAATCGGTAGAGCAGAGGATTTTCAGGGCAGTGAAAATACTCTGTATGATGCTATAATGGTGGACAAATGTCATCATAAATTTCTCTAAACCCATAGAATGTACACCAAGAATGAACCCTAAGCTATGACTTTGAGTGATAATGACGTGTCAATAGAGGTTCAGTGATTGTACCCATGTACCATGTACCATTCTGGTGTGGGATGTTGAAGTGTGGGAGACCGTGGGTGTGTGAGAACAGGGAGTGTATGGGAATTCTTTGTACTTTCTGCTCAGTGTTTCTGTTGGCCTGAAATGGCTCTAAATAATAAAGTCTATTTTTTTTTTAAAAGATCACATTCGGGGCTGGGCGCGGTGGCTCAAGCCTGTAATCCCAGCACTTTGGGAGGCCGAGACGGGCGGATCACGAGGTCAGGAGATCGAGACCATCCTGGCTAACACGGTGAAACCCCGTCTCTACTAAAAAAAATACAAAAAACTAGCCGGGCGAGGTGGTGGGTGCCTGTAGTCCCAGCTACTCGGGAGGCTGAGGCAGGAGAATGGCGTAAACCCGGGAGGCGGAGCTTGTAGTGAGCCGAGATCCGGCCACTGCACTCCAGCCTGGGCGACAGAGCGAGACTCCGTCTCAAAAAAAAAAAAAAAAAAAAGATCACATTCGATGTCCATTTTTCTGTTATAGGACCCATTATATACACTCTGTGTTATTGTTATGGAAAAAAACTTTACTGATTAATATTAGTCCATTAACATAGAAAACCTTGCTGTTACGTAACTACTTTGCGTGTACCAGAAGATTTTTGCCACACCAGAAGAGGAAGAAATCTCATGTTCAAATGCTTCCTTTTTCTCATAAGCAGCAGACAATGTTTGGCAGATGGTGCTAATGAACAACCTCACTGATCAGTCTTTGTGCTACTGCCAAGCAGCAGCTAACTTGGAACTTTAGTTGTTGTTGCTGTTTTGAGACAAAGTGTTGCTCTATCACCCAGGCTTGGAGTGCTGTGGTGTGATCTTGGCTCACTGCAACTTCTGCCTCCCAGGTTGAAGTGATGCTCCTGCCTTAGCCTCCCGAGTAGCTGGGATTACAGGCACGCACCACCATGCCCGGCTAATTTTGTATTTTTAGTAGACATGTTGGTCAGGCTGGTCTCGAACTCCTGACCTCAAGTATCTGCCTGCCTGGGCCACCTAAAGTGCTGGGATTACAGACATGAGCCTCCATGCCCGGCCTGTGAGCCACCACACCCAGCCCAATTTTTTATTAAACCTTTTTATAAAAAGCCACATTTGTGTGTAATTTTGTAACTGGAATAAAATATTTACTACAGAGTACTATTTCATTTCATCTTCTTCCTTTGAAAATATGGAGTTATGGCAAAAAGTATGATTTTTAAGGAATAAGAACCAAATCACTTTAAAGAAAGAATACTTTATTGTAATTTATTGAACCTTTAATATACAATATGGCAAGTTTTCTGGGATTTAACTCTAGGACGTGATTGCTGCTGGTATTTAGCAAAAGGCTCCGGTTCACACCTAGCACTAATAAAATGCTTTTCTGAATAAAAACATAACACCAAACAAAATGAATTCAAATATTTTCTTTAAAAAATTATTTTAAAGTTTGTTCTATTCAGCCTAACACAATAAAGGGAGACACCATGGTTTAACATAATTAGCTGATTTTATACACCGCATATCTTTAAGTCCACTTAATAACAAAGTAAGTATATTATTAAGTGATAGAGAACACTCAATATAGCGACTTTTACAGAACTAGGAAATCATTTTTTTTTTTTTTGAGACAGAGTCTTGAGGAAATACATTTCTAAGAAAGATTTTTACAGACACTCATCTTTCATACCCAACCACAAGGTCTAACTCTAAAGAGGATAAAACCAATACTTTGCTCCCAAGAGCTCATGACTAATGATAGCGTGAATCTATGCTATCAAAACCTGTGTTTCTCATCTGTTATGAGTACTCAGGCGAGATTCAAATATTCTCAAGGAAAGAAACACAGTACGCATTGTGATCGCCTGCTCAGCAACAGCCAGCACTGCATCCCAAATGATCTCATCCCAGGAATTACATGAGGCCAGCTGTGTACGCCGGCATTTCCCCCACTGTAGTACTGCAGAAGGTCTCAGTGTCACAAAGAATCCTTTTGTCTTCTTTAATATTTATGGTCACAGCTGTCTTCCCAAGTTGACCCCTACTGCCAGTTCTGAACAAAAGAAAAAATATGAATCAGAATATTATTCAGCAAGTACTACATGAACTACTGAACAATCTGAGCTACTAGTTAATCATCGGTGGCTGTTTATTTGCCAGAATTATATGTAGTGTGCTTCTAAATGGAATACAAGATACTGATCAAAATATCTAGAGAAAAAGAAAAGGTTTTTTTGCAAAGTTAGTACAAAAGGAGTTAAGGCTCATCTGGCTGCAAAATGAACATTATTACTTATAAAAGGATGAAAGTATTGGGTTTAGGGTAGTAAAATTAAAGCCCCTACCAAAGTGGGCCAGCCAAGAGTGGGTGTCATGTCAGTCTGCGACAGATGTGAACAGGCACAAAACAAAAGGAACAGTTATGAATCTATTCTGATACACTTTCAGAATTAACTACAGATGTCAGCTCTGAAATGTTCACTGTTGTTTACGACTATGCTGTCCAATAAACAGTCACTAGCCACATATGGCTATTTAAATTTAAATTAATTAAAATTAAATGAAATAGGCTGGGCACGGTGGCTCACGCCTGTAATTCCAGCACTGTGGGAGGCCAAGGTGGGTGGATCACTTGAGGTCAGGAGTTCGAGAATGGCCTGGCCAATATGGTGAAACTCTGTCTCTACTAAAAATATGAAAACCCCCCCCAGGAGTGGTGGTGGACACCTGTAATCCCAGCTACTCGGGAGGCTGAGGCAGGTGAATCGTTTGAACCCAGGAGGCGGAGGTTGTAGTGAGCCGGGATTGCGCCACTGCACTCCCGCCTGGGTGACAAGAACAAAACTCCATCTCAAAAAAAAAAAAAAAAAAAAAAAAAAGGTTGCATTAGGTGCATTTCAATAGTCACATGTTATCTGCCACTCCTATATTGGACAGTACAAACAGAGAACATTTCCATCAGCACAGAAAGTTCTATTGGGTAGTTCTATTGGGAAACTTTTACCAGTAGAGGGAAATCTTGAAAAAATGTATTCTGGTAACCCATATTTATCACTCCTTTCTGCTCAGTTCATGTCACAGACTCTAACACAAATGACCAAAATATGTTTGCCACTACAGTTCTCTACTAAAATGGATCACACAACCAATCAAAGGTGTTCTTGCTGTAGGAACTTAAAATATCAAATAATCAGAACAAGAGAAAAACACATATGGAAATACTGATTCCTTCTTTATCCAAACGACCTGCTGTTTCACTTATAAATCTATGTCCGAAATCAGGCCCATGGCATTTCTGACCACCACTTGTCACCTACTCCTATGAACTACTACATTAAAAAAAATATAGTAACTCATTTTTATTGGTAACAAGGCATAGTTCAATTTATTTAGTGACAAAGTCAATATAACTAGGCTAGGATCAACATAAACTGTGACCAGAAAATGCTGAGAAAATTCCAACTATAGAGGAATCATCAAGAAAGCACAAGCTATGAGCAAACATGACTTTAAGACTCATAGGTGAGTTAAAGACAACCAAGTCTAATAGCATTATTGATTTTTCCCTGAAATATCAACGGTATATAAAGTCCAAAATCTGAGCAACATTTCACATTTGCTTTCCACTGTGTTCTGTCCAACCATGAGTCCTCCCAGGTACAATTTAAATATCATGTTACAAGGTGATAAAATTATTATCCTGATACATTTGCCTGGCTGACAAAATCATCTTGAAAAACAATACAGTCATGCGCTGGATAATGACATTTTGGTCAACTACAAATTGCATATATGATGGTGATGCCATAAGATTATAATGGAGCTGAGAAATTCTTGTCACCTAGTGACTTCATAGCCATCGTAAAGTTATAGCCCAGTTACTTTATTTTTATTGTTTTGTTTTGTTTTTGTGACTGATTTTCACTCTTGTTGCCCAGGCTGGAGTGCAATGGCACAATCTTCGCTCACCGCAACCTCCGCCTCAAGCGATTCTCCTGCCTCAGCCTCTCAAGTAGCTGGGATTACAGGCATGCACCACCACGCCCGGCTAATTTTGTATTTTTAGTAAAGACAGGGTGTCTCCATGTTGATCAGGCTGGTCTCGAACTCCTGACCTCAGGCGATCCGCCTGCCTCGGCCTCCCAAAGTGCTGGGATTACAGGTGTGAGCCACTGTGCCTGGCAATTACTTTATTTTAAAAATAAATGTAGTATAGCCTATGTGCAGAGTGTTTATATATAAAGTCTACTGTAGTATACAGTAACGTTCTAGCCATTCACATCCACTCACCACTCACTCACTGACTCACGCAGAGCAACTTCCAGTCCTGCAAGCGTCACCTCTGTAAGTGCCCTATACAAGGGTGTTGTTTTTATCATTTATGATGTATTTTTACTCTAACTTTTCTATGTCTAGATATACAGATACCATTGTGCTACAACTGCCTACAGTACTCAGTACAGAGGAGCAACAGGCTATACCACATAGCCTAGGTTTGTAGTAGGCTACACCATCTATGTTTGTGTAAGTACGCTCTGTGATCTCTCAGAACACACATCCCGGTTGTTCAGTGACACGTAACTGTGTATGAATTTATTTCACCAGAATAAAAAGAAGGAATTCAAAGATGTCAAATAATCAAATGAGAATATAGTTTTCACAAGCAGTGGGCAGATCACAGTTGATGATCAGTATATACACTACTAAACATAAAAATAAGAACCTCAGATGTGATAGTATATATTTAAATTATGTTTCAAAAAGCAACTGCTGCACACTCTTCTAGGCCACAGGAGTAATGACCTATATATAACAGCACAGTTCACTGTGGAGTGTGATCTTCACGCCCCTACAACTTCAGCTGGCAAAGTCTACTATAAACTTTCCCCCTAAACCAACTTTTGCTAGGTAGATACTGTCATTAAATAAGGAATTGGAACACTTACCAACAAGTCAGTAGCAGTCAAAACATGGTTTGTCCTTTATCTGAATTCCCTCCTGACAATGTTTTCTTCCTTCTGTCACTACCTGCAAAACGCCACCAACTCCTAATTCTCAAGTCATTTGTCAAGTCAGTACTTAAACAGGTGAACATGTATGAGACCAGACATCCCTGCAGCTAGAGCACCATGGCCAACAGGGCTTGAAAGGTAACAGTTTTATTTTGAGCAGGGGTCAAAGACAATGCAGCACTTCACAGCTACAATGTAACTAGATCCTGCCTCGGTTTACTAAGAAAATACAGTGGACCCTTGAAGGAAACGGGTCTGAACTGGGCAGGACCACTTAAGTGGCTTCTCTTCTGCCCCTGCCACCCTTTAGACAGCAAGACCAACCCTCCTCTCTCTCCTCCTCCTTAGCCTACTTGACATGAACATGAGGAAGATGAAGGCCTTTATGGTGATCCACTTCCACCTAATGAAGAGTAAATGTATTTTCTCTTCCTTACGGTTTTCTTAATAACATTTTTTCTCTAGCTTACTTTATTATAAGAATACAGTATATCCACTTTGGGAGGCCGAGATGGGTGGATCACGAGGTCAGGAGATCGAGACCATCCTGGCTAACACGGTGAAACCCCGTCTCTACTAAAAAATACAAAAATCTAGCCGGGCGAGGTGGCGGACACCTGTAGTCCCAGCTACTTGGGAGGCTGAGGCAGGAGAATGGCGTGAACCCGGGAGGCGGAGCTTGCAGTGAGCTGAGATCCGGCCACTGCACTCCAGCCTGGGCGACAGAGCGAGACTCTGTCTCAAAAAAAAGAAAAAAAGAATACAGTATATCATATATATAACATACAAAATATGTGTTTAATCGACTGTTATTAGTAGGGCTTCTGGTCAACATTAAGCTGTTAGTAGTAAAGTTTTTGGGGAGTCAAAAATTATCTGCAGATTTTTGACTGTATCGGGGCTGGTGCCCCTAATCAGGTTGTTCAAGGCTCAACTATAATCAGATATTAATAGCATCCTAATTAGCAATACTAAGGAAGAGCAGCTCTTACCACACCAGAAACTGGCATGCTTTTTCTTAGAAGCCAAGATACCTTTCACTCTGTGTTCTACAAGGAACAACCTGACTGGTCAATCTCTCGTCATTAAGAGCATATAATTTCTTTCCTTACAGTATTTCCAAGAGGAAAATGTTAATTCATGTCAGAGTTGGAATAAAAAGCCATTTGATTTCTACACCTCATCCCTACCACTGGAAGAGAATATTCATTGATTTTACTAATTCTGCCTAAATATAGATATTACTGTACCAGATCTTAGAACAAAGTACCCTGTTTTAAAAAAGAGGTTCAACTCAGGCTGGGCACAGTGGCTCACGCCTGTAATCCCAGCACTTCGGGAGGCCAAGGTGGGCAGATCAGCTGAGTTTAGGAGTTCGAGGCCAACCTGGCCAACATAATGAAACCCTGTCTCTACTAAAAATACAAAAAATTAGCCAGGCATGATGGTGGGCAACTGTGATCCCAGCTACTTGGGAGGCTGAAGCAGAAGAATCACTTGAACCTGGGAGGTGGAGACTGCAGTGAGCTGAGATCACGCCACTACACTCCAGCCTGGGTGACAGAGTGAGACTCCATCTAAAAAAAAGGTTCAACTCAATTTTTCTATCTGGTACAGTTCTTTTTTCTTCTTGGGTTTTCTCTGATAGCTTTATTACAAATGCTAAGACATGATACTAGTTTCTGGAATTTTAGTAGAGAGCTTAAACAAGAAGGTAAATTTTAAATCCCTGGCTATGGTTTTTATGTATATCAATTAGAAAGACATTACCCTCTTCCAAAATTATTGTAAAACATTGACTCCTTCAAGGGCCAATTCTTCCTTCTTCACCAGAATGTGAAATAGATCTGTCATGAACTTCTTGGTAATTTCCAACGTATTAATATTGAGGCAGAAAGCAACACAATCTTTAAAAAGAGACAATAACTGACCAGGCTAAGTGGTTCACGCCTGTAATCCCAGCACTTTAGAAGGCCGAGGCAGGTGGATCACTTGAGGTCAGAAGTTCGAGACCAGCCTGGCCAACAAGGCAAAACCAGGTCTCTACCAAAAATACAAAAATTAGCTGGGCATGATAGCACACGCCTGTACTCCCAGCTACTACTCGGGAGGCTGAGGCAAGATAATCGCTTGAATCCGAGTGGTGGAGACTATAGTGATCTCAGATAATGCTACTGCACTCCAGCCTGGGTGATGAAGTGAGACTCTGAAAAAAAAAGACAATGACTAATTATGTTGACAAATCAATTAAGCAGATGTAATAGTTTCATAACAATACTTAGAGAAATAATGTTTGAGACCAAGCGTCCATGTCTTACTATAGAACCGAGTGAGACAGAGATTGTGGGAAACAATTGCTTTGAGCAGGGGACAAGGACAACGTAGCACTTCACAGCTATGTTGTAACAATGAATCCAACCTGCCAGCTGGAGAAAACTCATGTGCACAAGAGTACTTGTATTTAATTTCTAGTAAATCTCATGGATTTGATCCTTAATTCCTTGGTTGAACATTTTTATCTGCTTCATCCAGAACAACCTGATCCTTTTGAAAAGTTAGGAAAAAATGTTTCACTTAAGTGTGAGTTGGACCTTGTGATTTCCTTCCTAATAGTACAGTGTGGAAGGAGGGTGGAAGAGTAACTTTCCAGCACAGAACCCTTTCCAGTGCTACCTCAGCCACGTAATTAAGGTCAACAGCAACCATCATAACTCTCAATCTGATGTGATGAGAATCACACGTTAGGCCGGGTGCGGTGGCTCACGCCTGTAATCCCAGTGCTTTGGGAAGCCGAGGCAGGAGGATCACCTGAGGTCGGGAGTTCGAGACCAGCCTGACCAACATGGAGAAACCCCACACTAAAATTACAAAATTAGCCAGGCATGGTGGCACATGCCTGTAATCCCAGCTACTCGGGAGGCTGAGGCAGGAGAATTGCTTGAACCTACGAGGTGGAGGTTGCAGTGAGCCAAGATCGCACCATTGCACTTTAGCCTGGGCAACAAGAGCGAAGTCTGTCTAAAAAAAAAAAAAAAAGAGAGAGAAAGAGAATCACACTTTACATCTGTGGTCCTCTTCCCTAAAGCCCCAAATTCAAGTCTAATCCAGAGGAAAACATCAGTCAATTCTAACAGAAAGATATCCTACAAAATAGCTGAATACTCCTCCTCCAAACCGTCAAGGTCACCAAAAATAGGAAAAATCTGAGAAACTGTCACAGCCTAGAGGGGTCTAAAGAGACATGACAGCAACATGGAATGTGGTATCCTGGATAAGATTCTGGAACAGAAAAAGCACTTTACATAAAAACTAAGAAAACATGAATAAATTGTGGACCTTAGTTCATAATAACCCATCAATGTTGGTTCATTAATTGTATCATACTGGCTGGGTGCAGTGGCTCACGCCTGTAATCCCAGCACTTTGGGAGGCCAAGGCAGGTAGATCACAAGGTCAGGAGTTCAAGAGCAGCCTGGCCAATATGGCGAAACCCTGTCTCTACTTAAAATACAAAAATTAGTTAGCCATGGTGGCACACATCTGTAGTCCCAGCTTCTCGGGAGGCTAAGGCAGGAAAATTGCTTGAACCCAGGAGGCGGAGGTTGCAGTGAGCCGAGATCGTGCCACTGCACTTCAGCCTGGGCAACAGATAACGCCTCCATCTCAAAAAAAAACAACAACAAATTGTATCATACTAACCATAATATAATTACACTACAAATTTACCATACTAACGTAAAATGTTAATAACATATAATAGCGTCCAAGGTATATGGGAACTCTTTGTACTATCTTCTCTGTAAACCTGTAACTTTTTTTCTGGAAACCTAAAGCCATTTAAAAAATAAAATAAACTCTATTTTTCAAAAGTCTTAGTATTATCTCTAGATATTCATGTGTAGCACACTTGCTTCATTAGGTTATTTTCCCTCCCATACCCTAAACATCACTAGCTAAAAAAGTGCCCTAGGAAAAATCCAAATAGACATTTTCTACATTATTCTTCTGTGTTTAAGATGTACAAATAGTGAATAAGCTCTGCATTTACATCTCCAGGGCAAGTTGTTCTGATATGTATTCACTGGTTATCATTCACTTTAAAGATAATTATCTTTCCAATAGGAAACCATGACTTATATAGCCTTGATCTTAATGAAGCCTATCGCTTTGTTAAAACAAGCTTTACTTCATAGCTAATATAGCAGTGAGCTTTGAAAACAGAGAGCATGCAGATATCACAAATGACAAAGATTCCCAACTCATAACACATCACTGCGGTTGTCAGGTTGCACACTGCATTTAAACTTGGCAATAGTGAACAGAAAAGGCATGGATCCTAGTCTACCCAGAAAGAAAGCTTCAGTTTGTCAATTGGTTGAGATACAGACCTACAAAACATATCTGCAACCCTAGTTTCTGTTTAATTTGAAACAAAAACTCCCTCTATGCAAGGTCAATAGTTAACAAGAAGGTTCTGAATGAATGACTTTATACTAAGTCTTAAGTATAAAGTTTTATATTTTTATAAAACTCAAAGTATCTGGGAAGTCGGGTCTTCCTGAGGGCAGACCTTAACCAGTGACTCGGCAGAGACGTACACACCAGCTTGCTGGTTCTCTGGTAAGGACAACTCCAAGGATTGACTATGCACCCTGACTTAGAGTTCAACAGGATTGAGTCACCTTGAGGGGAACAGGCTTAGAGCAGCTTGCTCTGTGGTCTTCCTTCCCTTTCTATTCTATTTCCCTATTTCCCTGGGATTTTCTCCTGGAAACTTTCTAATTATTTGCACAGGAATTCCTGTCTTAGGGTTTACTTCTGGGGCCCTAAGACACATGATATAATAAGTATTTTTTAAACGGATGACTCTTATCTTTAAAAGCAGTATAACTTACTACTTTTTTGACATATTCTGATGTAAAAGATAAAGTCACTTTGCCACTGCTGAATGTAAACAGAGAAAACTGATTTGGAAAAGTTTTAAAATTCAAATTTAAATATGAAAGATATTCATCCTTTACCCCGTGATACGTGTTACAGATTATTTTCTCCCAATCCAGTGTTTTTTCAGTTGTCTTCTGACTTTATGATGTATTTGTCATGCCATTTGTTTTATGTGGTCAAATTTATCAATTTTTTATTTTATTGCTTATGGCTTTTTGAGTCATAGTTAGAAAGCTTTTTTCTTTCAGTACTTGCATTGTTTCATTTTTCACATTTAGATCCCTGATCCATTTAGACTTTATTTTTGTGATGCTATGAGGTGTAGATCTATTTTTATCTTTTTCCAAATGGCCAACCAGTTGGCCCAGCTCTGTGTATCACAAAGCCCAACTCTGCTCCAATGATATGTGGTACCACCTTTAACTTTCCATGTGCACTTGGGGTTACTTCTGGATTTTCTATTCTACTTGTCTTTTTATATTATTCACACACTAGTTCCACATCTTAATTACAGAGACTTTGTAACCTCTATAGTCATAACACCTCTATGACTGCCTTCATAACCTGTATAATACAGTTTTAATTACAGAAACTAAAGACAAAAATAACTGTAAACCAATATTGAACTCTGGCTAGTTGGTCTGTTTTTCACAGTGGTATGGGTTAGCGATTTTGAATCAACTTTTTGTACACGATTGAGCAAAGAAGTGAATATCTTGTGGATAAGGACAACCAGCTTTCTTACTCTCAGAAAACAGTAACAATTACAGAAAGGGCAGATCTGATTGAACTCTGAGATGATGCACTGGAACTGAGGTAACAGTATGAACTCAGCTGTTTTTTAAACATACATGTAGATAGATATAAAACAGATATAGATGTACCTGGATTGATGCGGGTATGGATGTGTGTGGGGAGAGTGCATGTACATATATAAATATATGTATACATATGTACATACACACACATATACACATAACGTGTGTGTGCATATATATGTATATACACACATACAAATATACACATAAAGTTTCCTAGCGTTTGTCTGCTGAGACAGTCTAGAAGTAATGGCATCCTAGTAGCAACGAACACAACCTACAACCCAGACACGGCTATAAAATAACATTCTCCAAAAAAAGGAATCAGGATTCTTTGGAGAAATGTCTGATTCCAAGGCAGGAGCTAAGTACAAGATGAGCCTGGAACATCCTGTGCCCTTAAACAGGGAATGACGGGGACATGTTAAAAGGACACGGGAACCAGAAGTAAACAAATGAATAAACCGGGGAGAAAGGAAAGTGCTTCCTTACTTTAAAAAAATAGAAACAAAAAAGCATTCTGTAGCTCATGCCCTGTAGGGGCGGGGGAAAGACAGAGGCCTGGCTGCAGAACGACGCCCTCTGGAAGGGGGACTGGAAGCCGAATCCCCTGACAAGCGGATGCCGTCCTCTCTTCCCGCTCGAGCCTCGTTCTCCCTTCACCCCTTCCCCGCCCTCACGCACCGATCGACCGCCGCTTTATGCCCCGTCACCTTGGCAACAGCAGCGGGCTCAGGCAGTGCCGCCACCAGTTTCTTGCAGCCGCGAGCAACACTGACGGTGCAGAGGCTGCCGCCATGTCCCCGGGGCCCGATCGCTTGTTCAAGTGCGGCTGCGTCTCCGCTGTCGTCCACATCACCTCCGTTCTGTGTGAAAGCCTCTTGTCCTCCTCTGGCCACCGTCCAGGTCTGAATCAAGAAATGAGCCAATCCCAGCGAGGCATTCGGGTGGGGGCGTCACCGTTGAAATCACTCGGCGACAATCTGCCAATCGGACTCGTGCCCGCGGGGTGTGGTCCTGGTCCCCGGGGCCCTGGGGGTCTGCATCTACTCCCGGGCGGTGTTAGGGGCTGGGAGGATCTGCTCTGTCCCCAGCCTCCGCAGGCCCTGGGTGTCCCTATCGCTGTTTCCGCGCATGAACTGCAAGGGCCCACCCTCTCGCAGACTCCAGGACCAGAAACTCTCTTCTTGACCTTCGATCTTTAGAGCACTGAGGTGAAGAAAGGGGCGGGAGACTGTCGTAGGATACAAAGGAGTGGAGAATAAAACAATGCAAAATTGTATAACATTTTCGAAATGTTAAAAAAAAAAAAAAGCATGAAGAAATCCTCTTAACCGTCTCAAAACTGAAATCACTGAATATCTTAAAAATGAACAAAAAAAAAAAAAAAAGAGAAAGCCCTGCATATTAGTACCTGTGGGATATACCAATGCAGTGCTTTTAAAAATTCAAAATAAAAGTAAATTAAATAATTTAGAAAAAAATAGCAAGGTAAACCTAAGAGAAGCAGAAAGAAGGAATTCGTAAGAATAAAAGAAGAAAATAAAAAGTAGAAATGGGAATGGGAATACTAATAAGCAAGAGATTTGAAAAAGGCAACAGTAGGGTGGTTGGCTCAAGAAAGAAAGAGGAGCATCTCAAAATACAAAATGATAAAGGGGAAATAACCATAGATACAGGAAAACTTAAAAGAATTGCATGATCAGTCAGTTCTGTGTAATAAATTTGAAAACTTGAATGAAATGGACAAAATTCCGAGAAAATATAATTTACCAAAACATTCTAGAGATAGAAATTCTAAGTAGACCAATTACCATGGAAGAAATAGATGTTGGCCGGGCGCGGTGGCTCATGCCTGTAATCCCAGCATTTTGAGAGGCGGAGGCGGGCAGATCACCCGAGGTCAGGAGTTCGAAACCAGCCTGACCAACATGGAGAAACCCTGCCTCTACTAAAAATACAAAATTAGCCGAGCGTGGTGGCACATGCCTATAATCCTAGCTACTCGGGAGGCTGAGTCAGGAGAATCGCTTGAACCCGGGAGACGGAGGTTGCTGTGAGCCAAGATTGTGCCATTGCACTCCAGCCTGGGCAACAAGAGCGAAACTCGGTCTCAAAAAACAAGAAAAAAAAAAAAAAAAAGAATTAGATGTTGTTAGAGAACTGCGTATCTCCATAGCTAAATCCACAGAAGCACCAGGCCCAAATTATTTCATAGGATAATTCTACTGTGAAAATTTAAGGAACAGAGAGTTGGTTGCTGTTGGTTGCTGTTGATTCTGCCTTAAGCACAGAAAAAAAAAAAAAGGAAGCATTTCAAATTCTGTTTATGAAGTGAGCCTTAACACTTATACCAAAATCTCATAAAACACCCATCTAGCATATACATATACACTGACCATAGAAATTCTTACTCATGGCTGGGCGTGGTGGCTAACGCCTGTAATGCTAGCACTTTGGGAGGCCGAGGCGGACAGATCACCTGAGGTCAGGAGTTCAGGACTATCTTGGCCAACATGGTGAAACCCTGTCTCTACTAAAAATACAAAAATTAGCCAGGCATGGTGGTGTGTGCCTGTAATCTCAGCTACCCGGGAGGCTGAAGCAGGAGAATCGCTGGAACCCGGGAGGTGGAGGCTGCAGTGAGCCAAGATCACACCACTGCACTCCAGCCTGAGAGACAGAGCAAGACTCCATATCTAAAAAATAAAAAAAAAAAAATTGGTACTCATGAATATTACTGGAAAAAAGCCTAAATCAAATAAAAATTATAATAAAGTATTTCTATTTTACTAGAAATAGCCGGGTACAGTGGCTTGTGCCTGTAGTCCCAGCTGCTTGCCAGGCTGAAATGGGAGGATCCCTTGAGCCCAGGAGTTTGAGGCCAGCCTGGGCAATGTAGTGAGACCTCCTGTCTCTAAATATCATTATAAAGAAAAAGAAAAATTTGTCATTTCCAAAATGCAAAAAAAGTGTTTGATAAAATTCAACATACATTCTTGATTTTTAAAAAAAACTTTTAAAATTCAGCAAATGATGTTGACACAACTAGGTAGCCGTCTAGAAAAAGTAAAGTTGGATCCCAACTCAAACTCATACCTCACATCAAAATAAGTTCCAGATAAAGAGTAAATGGAAAAAACGAAGTATAACTGTACTTCATTAAATCCTGTTACATTCTGTAGCACAGGAAATTTTATAAAGCAATACCCAAAACCTTTTTCTCCCCTATAGTTTCAATTATATATCTTTTAAAAAAAAGTTAGTGATGTCCTAGAGTTTTCCTCTGTCCTTCATACTTCTTACTCCAACAGAGATGGAGCCTTCCTCTGTTGCCCAGGCTGGAGTGCAGTGGCGCGATCTCTGCTCACTGCAACCTCCGCCTCCTGGGTTCACGCCATTCTCCTGCCTCGGCCTCCTGAGTAGCTGGGACTACAGGAGCCCGCCACCATGCCCAGCTAATTTTTTGTATTTTTAGTAGAGACAGGGTTTCATCGTGTTAGCCAGGATGGTCTCAATCTCCTGACCTCATGATCCACCCGCCTCGGCCTCCCAAAGTGCTGGGATTACAGGTGTGAGCCACCGTGCCCAGCCCCTTCATACTTCTTAGGTGGGACCCCTTGTAACAAAAGAAGATTAACCATAGAAAAACAAACAGAAGTTTATTAACATAACGTGTGTTAAATAAAATTTATAGGTGACTGATTTAAATTGAGCTTCTTCGCTATGCCCAATAGACCAAACCAAAATGAAATCACACTAAAGTTCCATGCTACCAAGCTGAAACTAAGTTGTTTATCTGACTTTTTGAGAAATCAAGAGAGAAAAAGGGGGTAGGGGAGAGGCGGGAGGGAGGGGGAGAGAGAGAGGGAGGGGGCGGGCGGGGAGAGAGAGAGAGAAATAGCCAAATTCCCAAACAGGCCAATTTTAGCTACCATGATAAAAAAAAGTCTCTTCTGCTTTAACCTTTAACTTTGAAATGATCAATCCATTTTTTTGTTCTCTGTTTCTGCTTTCCTTAGAAACAGAGGAAAACCAACATTTCTTCCTATAAAACCAGCTCCTTCTGCTCAGCTCATCAGAACATCCATTTTATTTTATAGATTGAAATGTTGCCTGATTCGGAATTGCAAATAAAAGCTAATTAAGATCTTTAAGCTAAATTTGTTGTAATTTTGTCTTATGACATATGTATCCTAGTCTATATGTGGGAGATATCCAGGGAAAAATGAGTAACTCTCAAAGAGAGTTACTTGGTTTGGTGCTGTCCTTGCAATAGTGATTGAGTTCTCATGAAATCTGGTTGTTTAAAAGTGTATGGCACCTCCCTCCTTGCTTAGAATTCAAGCTTAAATACTATCTTCAGCTGAAATAAAAGAAGAATGGTGTCAGGGAGGCCAGTTATAGAGAGGTGATCAGGAAAAGTATGGCAAACAAGAGTAAGGTCTGTTATGCAGATTTAAGCTGATACCTTTTCCATCAATGAGAAGTTTTGTTTTTTAATGATTTAATTATCCTTGTCTTCCTGGTTCAGAGAAGGAAGACACCCTTACAAATGGAGATTGTTCTTTGTAAGTGTGAATTGCCCTTCCAAGAGGTGATATAGTTTGGATCTTTGTCCTCTCCAGTCTCATATTGAGATGTAATCGCCAGTATTAGAGGTGTGGCCTGGTGGGAGGTGTTTGGGTCAATCATAGGGGCAGATCTCTCATGAATGGCCTGGTGCTGTCCTTGCAAAAGTGAGTGAATTCTCGTGGGGTCTGGTTTTTTAAAAGTGTGTGGCACCGACCGGGTGTGGTGACTCACGCCTGTAATCCCAGCACTTTGGGAGGTTGAGGCAGATGGATCACCTGAGGTCAGGAGTTCAAGACCAACCTAACTAACATGGAGAAACCCTGTCTCTTCTAAAAATACAAAATTTGCCAAGTGTGATGGTGCATGCCTGTAATCCCAGCTACTCGGGAGGCCGAGGCAGAAGAATCACTTGAACCCAGTAGGCAGAGGTTGCAGTGAGCCGAGATTGTGCCATTGCACTCCAGCCTGGGCAACAAGAGCGAAACTCCGTCTCTTAAAAAAAACAAAACAAAACAAAAAAATGTGTGGCACCTCGTTCCTCTTTTTCTTGCTCCCTCTCTAGGTGACACTGCCTGCTCTCCATTTGCCTTCTACCGTTATTCTAAGCTTCTGAAGCCCTTAGCAGAAGCAGATGCCAGCACTATGCTTCCTGTAAAGTCTGCAGAACTGTGAGCTGATTAAACCTCTTTTCCTTATGAATTACTCAGTCCCAGGTATTCCTTTATAGCAACACAAGAATGGCATAACACAAGAGGGTAAATTTTACTCTTGTTTTCAGAGCTTGTCTTGTGTCTGTTGTTTCTCAAAATGATCAGCTCAAAGTAATCCTTATGCCAATGAGGCACATTTTGGGGTGACATATTCTGGTTTCCTACAATATGCCAACAGAGGAGAGAAAGTGGAATCATATAAAACGCTGAATTAAAACCAGAGAAGGCAGAAAAAGAATGAAAGACAAAAAAAAAAAAAAAGAATATAAGCAACAAATTAAAAAGTTATAGATATGGTGGATATTAACTATATTAATTATCATTTTAAATCTAAATTGTTTAAATACACAATTAAAAGAACAAGACTATTAGAATGGATTAAAGAAAACCCACAAGATCCAACTATATGTTGTCTACAAGAAACCCACTTTAAATATAAAGACATATAGAATAAAAGTAAAGAACTAGACAAAGATAAGCCATGTTGACATTAATCAAAAGAAGGCTGAAGTAGCTATATTAATTTTAGACAAAGCAAACTTCAGAGCAAGTAAAATTATCAGCCATAAAGAGGAGTATTATGTAATGATAAAGGGCTCAATTCTTCACAAAGGCATAACAATCCTTAATGTGTATGTACCTAACATGAGAGTAGTTTTTTTTATTTTCTCCCTTTTCCCACCATTCATCCTCAAGTAGGTCATGGTGTCTGTTCCCCTTTGTGTCCATGTGT